ATAATATTTACAAAGCAGTTTGTACACCAAAAAGATCTCTAGAAGAGTGTTCTTCGACACTCTTGGATTCCCTGGTGTTGTTGGACTATAATTCCCATCATCCTTGGGTATTGGCTAAGTTGGCTGAGGATGATGGGAGTCCTGAATCACCAAGGTCTCCAAAATTGATGAACACTCCTATAAAAAGCATTACTAACAATAAAGTAAGGTAGCTAATACCTAAAGCCAGCCTTCCCAAACCAGCCACCTTTCTGATGTTTTCAGGTGACAACTGCAGCCATGTCAACTGAGGCTCATAGGAGTTGCAGTCAAAAACGTGGGGAGGACACCAAGTTGGCGAAGGCTAGTCTAAACCAAGATGCAATAAGCAGGAAGGAAGGAAACATAAAAACAACTGAAGCTGTTCAAACATACTACAAGATCATGGTAAGTCAGAATAAAAAATAACATTCTGTAGACATAATTTTAAATGGGCATCTGCCATCTCCCACTTGTCAAGCAGTACAGAAATATTTTGCTGTATGAGCAAATGCACAGCCCTTAAAAGCCTAAGAGGATCATTTATCTAAAATGTTCAGATAATCAGTAGATTGGAAAATTGTGCGTGTTATTTATATAAGGCATAATCTGGTCAAAGTGAAACAATTCAAAGTTCCATTGTTTTCAGCAGGAGAAAATTAAGTTCCTGCTTAAAGCTGCACTCCTATGGGTAGAATTCAACCAGGGTTTACTCAGAGCAGACCCAGAGAAATTAATGGAGTCAATGGATCTCCTCTACAGTAAAATTCAGTTGAATACCACCCTATACCTACACACCAGGAAGAAAGCCTCACTAAATCCAGTGGGACTTGCTGACTTACTTGTTAAGAGAGCTGAGATTTATTAGGAGATCATTCCCTTCACAGAACTATAATTTCCAGAGTTCCCTAGGAAGGGCGATTGTCAAACCACTCTGAGAATTGTAGCTCTATGAGAGGAATAGGAGTCTCCTAACAATGCTCATCACTCTTAACAAACTACAGTTCCCAGGGTTCTTTGGGGAAGCCATGTCTGCTTAAAGTGGTATGATGATGCTTTAAATGTACGGTACAGACGGGTCCTTACTCTTAGGTAAGTGTGCATAACATTGCAGCCTTAAGCATACTGCTTTGTTTCAGGGAGTAGAGAGGACTGACATTATTTTCAAGAGAGTTTCAGACAGATTAGTAATAACCCAAATTGGAAAAAGGTAATTCTGTTCTTTTAAATGTAATGTTTATATGCGAGTATAATCACAGTAAGACAAAGCTGTAAAAGTGAGTCAATAAACTAGTTCTTAACTAAAGGTAAAGGTACCCCTGCCCGTACGGGCCAGTCTTGACAGACTACTCTGGGGTTGTGCGCCCATCTCACTCAAGAGGCCATGGGCCAGCGCTGTCCAGAGACACTTCCGGGTCACGTGGCCAGCGTGACAAAGCTGCATCTGGCGAGCCAGCACAGCTCACGGAAACACAGTTTACCTTCCCGCCAGTAAGCGGTCCCTATTTATCTACTTGCACCCGGGGGTGCTTTCGAACTGCTAGGTTGGCAGGCGCTGGGACCGAGCAACGGGAGCGCACCCCGCCGCGGGGATTCGAACCGCCGACCTTTCGATCGGCAAGCCCTAGGCGCTGAGGCTTTTACCCACAGCGCCACCCGCGTCCCAATCTTAACTACAATGGGGCAAACCCCAGGAACCAAGTCATGAAAAGCTTCCTAGACAAAAGACATCTCAAATAGGGGGAGGGGGCATTATTTGTTTTCTGTTGTTTCAGAAGACAGAATTAGAACTGGTGAAAGTTGGAGGGAATCAGGTTTCAGCTAAGTGTTGGGAGAAAATTCATAAAGGTAATTCTCTTGATGCCTGAAAGTCTCACCCCTTATATGCCTAGTCAATCACTGCAGATGAGGGCCTCCCATCCATACCATTTTAACAGGAGGTCTGCTCCACACAATGTAGGAATCAGGCTTTTATTGTTGTGGCATCTCCCTAATGGAATGCCCTACCCTTGAATATTAAACAGAGTTGATAGAATGGAGTTGCTACACCCAAGGGGGGACCCATTCACTTTTTCTAGTGCAGATGGACCTGATCCAGATCAGGATAACAGCAGGGAGCAAAGGATTAAAGCCCCCTAACACACAAGTACATCGCCCAAACCTGGACCACCTCCTCCCGCTTTCCATTTACATTTTGAAAATCCATCCACACCATCTTTAATTCCATGAACGGCATTGTGTTTTGTCAGGCTCTCAGGATGTGCCAAAGAGCCATCACCCTACTACACTAAATCTTTCTTGCATAATTTGGTTGCATAAATTATTTTGAGGCACTTTGTCAAATTGTTGCTGATCTCCTTAAATTGAAGCTATAACCACCTCGAAACACAACGAGGAGCCTGCTGATCAAAGCCTTGCTGTTTATTAGGGCTGTTAAAAGTCTTCAACCAACACACTGCTTACTTTGCCTTGATTGGATTTTTAAAACTCGCTGTCCAAAGCAAAGCTTTATGATGATGGGATTTCCCCTCCCTCTCTCTGCCCAAATTACAAATTACGGTACTTATCACTGAAAGCACCACCAAGGTGGAAAAAGACGGGACGTTGGCTCCAATTCTACCAGCCTTTTTTTTTTTTTAATGTCCTTATTGAGCTTTTCTTGGGTAGCAATAGAATATGCTGAGACTCTGTTTTCAAGTCATAGTATCATTCAAAGAAGTCAGTCATATTCAGAGACATTATAGGCAATATATGGTTGTGGGAGAAGAGAGAGGGGTGGGAAGGGGGAGATGGTAACATTTCATTCTTTAGCACAGTATATGAGCATAAGCTTATGTGTCAGCATCACATAGACAGGTATTTTATTTTTGCTGGCGGTGTTTTGAAGACTAATTTCACACTGAGTTCACTGGAACAGACTTTGATTTACAACATCGTAAGGCCCCCTTTCTACATTGCAGGCATGTCACAAAGCTTTTATCTACAACTAACCCAGTATGTTGTCCCAATATGATGTATGGAAAGTTATGGGTTGGGAACAAGTTTGATCTATGGTTTCTTTAACCACAGACCTAACTGCGTCTACTGATCTATGTGATGACTCTCTCCATTACTTTACTCAACATACAAAAATGAGGATTAGGTTTCAGGTGATGAAAAAGACCCCTGCCTGACACCTGGAAGAATCAATATCTGTCAGACTGCTTAATCTTCCTTCAACACTGGTGATGGGACAGCATAATAATAATAATAATAATAATAATAATAATAATAATTTATTATTTATACTGCACCCATCTGGCTGGGTTTCCCCAGCCACTCTGGGTGGCTCCCAACAGCATCCTCCACTGCACCTGAGTGGGGCTTAGGGCATCCCACTAGTTTTTGGCGAGGGGCATGACAGGCTTTGTGGCACACACACTGCTCTAATCTCTTAACAGAATTACCAGAGGGCTTGGGAGGAATGGCCAGAGGGTCTACCATTGCTCTCCCTTCTGCCCCTCAGTATCTGGCACCTGATGGGATTGCTTGACTCTGCCTAAGGGTAGGACTGGGATGCAACATGAGGTCTAAAGGATGACTCTGCTCCTGCTACTGTATGGAAGTGAGTAAGTGCACGAACAAGGCTGATACATCATGCTTATTACGTTCACATGCACGGCATATTCCTGCACCCTCTGAGAGACCAAAAATCAAGCTCTGCACAGCTGTAATCTCTCTCCTTGGTACGGGAGCTGCCAACAGTGCCATCCATTATTAGGTCTTGTAATTGTCTTGCTGAGAGAGCCGCTGTACGATGGCTGGTAACTGATCTCTCACCATTGTGCCCCACCTGTTACTGCCTCTCGCCTTATTCTCCTGCAAATAAGAGCCTATTATCCATCACCTGCCACTGACCTTCTCTTCCTTTCTTGACTGCTCTGGCCAGGAGGAGCACACTGGGTCCTTGCCTGCCACTGCTTGTTACTCACTCGACTTACACAGCTATTGTTGTGGCTCAAAGGACACAGCTTCAGCATGGGCCAGAGCCAAGATGGAACAAACAAACAACCTTCCGCTGTAGCAGCAACACCAGAAATCAGGCTGGTGTGGACATGTACAAGCTTAAACCAAGACATCTTCCCAATTATATGCTCCTGTGTTACAGTTAGGCCTGTACTCCTCCCAACCAACCACATCATGCTTCAAAAGTCAACTATTCCCACTCGCCTTTCCCCCCTCCACCTCTCCCCCCCCCTTCTTCCAAATGTAACCCTAATGTCTCAACAAATGAAACTGACCTATGGAAAATGTAACTTGAAAAAAGAGACATTGTGCATACCTTTGTAAACCAAGAAAACTTTAATAATATTTTTTTTTTAAAAAAAAAGTCAACTATTCTGGACTCAGGACCAACTTTTGACCCAAAGGTGCATTTGGGGACCCATTTCTTAATCTTTTACCATATAGTTGCATGGTGGCAGCATTCCTCTTGCGACCCACTTTGGACCAGGCTGTGACCCACTAGTAGGTCCAGACCCACCAGCTGACAAGCGGTGAATCAGAGCACCTCCAGATCATGAACTGCAACTCCCGCTGGCCCCAACTGGCACTGCTAATGGGTGATGGGAGTTGTAGTTCAGCAACTGCTGGAAACATTTCGGGTTAAACCACCTCTGGATTAGGGAATCAGAACGTGGCTGGCAAATGCTGCCTCTTACTCGGCAACTCTGCCACTTTGGGACGCTGGGTTTGCGAGTGGAAGCTTTGCCAGTCTCCATCACCACCACATGATGAATACTTTTATCAAAGTGGACATCTGGCAAAAAAACAGACCATTGTGCCTGAGAGCTGTAGGATGGAGTCAAAGTCAGGGAGCCACTCCCAGCAAGCCTAACTTCTTTGCTGGCCTATTTGGAGGATCAGTCCAGAGCAGTCACTTCCCACACAGTTCACTCTGCTTCTCTCTCTCTCTCTCTGCCCCCGGTGCGCCTTCCCCTTACCTGACCCGGTTGTCGTGGAACTTGCTCTGCTGGGGCTGGTTCAAGTAAATGGTGCGGGCTGCTGCCTCCTCCTGGTCCGCAGAGGACGTGGCCCCGGACATCTCATCATCTGCCTTCTTGTAGCCCGAAGAGGAGCAAATGGGTCCTGCCGGCCGCAGGCAGCAGCAGCAGCAGCCAAGCAAAAGAAGAGAGAAGAGGGTGGGGGAAAGGGGTGGGTGGGGAAAGGAATCAGTTAGCAGAAGGAAAGATACAGAAGGAGAGAGGCGCGGCGGACGAGGAGGAGGCGGCGGCACGCAGCAGCAGCAGAAGCAGCTAGCATCACGCCGCCCGCATCTCTAGCGAGCCGCCTCGGTGGCAGCTTGCTTTCTCCTTCTCCTTCTCCTCCTCCTCGAGCAGCCTTTGCAAAGTGGCCCTGGAGAAGCAGGATCACGGCAACAGCAGCCTGTATGCCTCCCTGCCTCCCTGTTGCTTTCCAGCTCTGTCCCCAGGCGCGCGCGTGCATGTGCGCGCAAAGCAGCCGAAACCTCCCCGCGACACAAACACACGCGCGCGCATACACACACACACACACACACACACACACACAAACGCCCCGCACCCAGAAGCGCGGCTGGCTGCTGGAAGGGCGGAGGGAGGGAGGCGCCGCGCTCGCAGGCGGAGAAGAATAAACAAGAATCAAAGTCACGGCAACCGAAGGAGTTGCGAGTCCAAGTCCACCCACTTATTGATCATCGGCGGCGGCTGCTGCAATCTCGAGCTCCCGGGCAGCAGAAGTAGAAAAGCGTCGCTTAGTTGTTGTTTTTCCGGGGCGCCTGGTTTGTATGGTGTGGAGCTTTACAAGCGACGCGGGAGGGTGGGGTGCACGTGGTGGGTTTGTTACCACCCGGTGTAGGGCGGAACTAGATCGTGTGACAGATCCACCCGTGGCCTCAGAGGGAAAGAGGTGGAAGCGCGCGTCGCCCCCCCCCCCCCACCAAGAAACCGGAAAGGAGTAACAAACATTTGGGAAGGGACAGCAGAGCAAAGCGCACGAGTGGCGCGATTTAAAAAAAAAATGTTGCCATTATTATGTTGGCCTCCAGGAGCCTCTTCCCTAATGTTCAGCTCCAACGATGAATCATCCAGTGGGACTCCGGGGTAACTTGGGATATATGGCTAGAAGACGCCTCCGAAGCAGCTTCCCGCTACCTGGTGTCCTCCTCCGACCATCCCTCAACTGGCCATGTTTGCTGGGGCTGATGGGAGTTGTAGTCCAAAGCATCAAGAGTGCCTGAGAAACTTCACCGAATATACAGTGCATCCCACAGCGGCCAAAACTGTCAAGTCTGTATACCAGGATTGGGGTATACACCATACTCTCCTGGGAATAATGGGAGGTATATTTTGGGGTCAGAGGCGGTGGGGAGGGGGAAGAACCATAAATAGATGGGGAACTCCATTTTCTCTCTTTCTGTCACCCCTTTCTCCCACTTTTTCTGCTACCATTTTTTCCCCCTTCACAACCTTTTCTCTGTCACCCTATGTGTCTATCTCCCCGGTTTTTGACTACTTGACACCCACATGATTTTGGCCAAGACTTTCAGATTGCCCGCTCCTGTCATAGGCAGGAATGAGCTGAAATGGATAAAACACGACGCATGAAGAGAATTAGAAAGACTAAAACCCCTATGCATGCTTACCCAGGAATAAGGCCCATCAAACTCAATGGTACTTAGTTCTGGGCAGATGTGAACAGGCACGAAAATATACTGTCCTTTTGAAACCTCAAGCCTCACTTACAATGCAGGAGCTGTTCAAATAGATTTAAAAACAAAACAAATGTGTCTGTGCAGAGCTGCTTATGAAAAGTGCACTGATCCTCAGTGACATTAGTATGGAGGGAAAGAACAAGGGTGTTTATCTTCACTCTATTTCAGGGCTTGTAAACAAAATGTAATGGAGAGAAAACTCCTTAATTTCAAGTTGAGTCAAACTTGTCAAGTCAATCTTGTTTGTTGCTAAAGGGGAAAGTCACAAAAGGAAAGTCACATGTTTATTGGTTACTGAAACTCCCCCCCCCCCAATATCAACTACCAAACCTATTACCGTATATATTTGAAAGTTACCATTTATAAGGAGATGGTTTTGTTTCATTGACAGAGGCACAGTGTTTCAAGGGCATTATGAAGAAGAAATTCAACCTGTTTAACTACTTCATCTGGCCTCAAATTTCTCTTGCCCTTCCCTGCCCAAAATTTCTCCATTTCTGCTAGGTGATGCGTGGTTATATGTTGCATTGTGATTCAGCTGGAGAAGAGCTATTGCAAGATATATTGAATGGAATCACCCAAATGTTGAGACCAGTTTCAGAGGCCCTGCTCTAGATCAGCCTGTCATCTGAATTAAGAGGAGTGGCAGGGCCTTTACAGCTGTAGCACTCCGTTTATGGATTTCAGTAGACAGAAATATTCACCTAGCACTGCCTTTCTTTTCAGCACCACCTTGAAAACTTACTTTTATTTGCCAGGCCTTTTATTTTTCCATTGGATCTTTTTGACTGCCTGCTGAATTTTGCTTTTTTTAAATTTTGGTGTATCTTTGGAGATCTACAGCTGAAGAGTGTCTAATAATCATTTTCTGAAAACCAAATAAACATTGCCCTAGTGCAGAGAGCCACTGAAATGCTGCCACACTGGAGTAATATTTAATTGCAGGGGTATTTCCTGTGTTAACTTAGTTTTGAGAAAAGGAGGAAAACACAAACAATCCTACAGCTTGGGGGCAAATTTCACTCAGAATTCTAGTCCCCCATCAATGGGCCATGAATAGAGATTTATTTAAAAATTACAAATACAGCTGTCCCAGTTACTTTTGTGATTTCCCTGGCGTCAAGCTTATTCTTGCATTATGCTGCTGGTTCGAATGGCAACATTTGTCCCTTTGAGAACACCTCAGCAAAATAGGGTTACAAAAAGCAGCATTATAAGCCCAGCATACACACAGACTATTTGCTAATTACAGTGGAGGAAGTATTTGGCCAGATGATTGACTTAATATCTCCTGCATGCAGAGAGGAATCTACTTGCAATCCTTTGTCAAAGAAGCACCTATTCAAACAAAGCAAAGAACAAAGACAGGGAATCAAACTGCATGTGGGAATGACAATGCACACTGAACACTGCTGCTCACAGATGGGACACAATGGCCAATGCTCTGGTGTCATGCCTCAGCCTGCCGCATCAGCTACCACAACAGAAGTCACCCAAGACATTGTTGCTAAGGTGTGTGGGGTCCCATTGCCTCCCCAGAGGGCTATCTTGACCTTCAACTCAATTGTCAATGTAGTGGAGGTCTTTTTTCATCTGAGGGCCACATTCCCTTCTCAGCAACATTATGAGGACCACATGCCAGTGACAGGAGGAGACGGGCAAAAGCATGTAGAGCAGCAAATATACCATCAGTCAGGTTGTGTATCCACAGCAGAACCAGAGGAGGAATGACTGCAGGGAGGAGCAGAGAGAAGAAGAAACGCCATCTGCAGCAGCACAATTAGATGCCTTCCTCTGCCCCAGCTGCAGCAAAACATGTCTCTCCCACATTGGTCTCTACAGCCACAACAGGCGCTGTAACTCCCCAACAGTTAGACTTTGCCCCTGAAGGCGCACTCCTCCATAATCTCCCAAAGACAGACAGATGCCAGCCAACCAATCTGTCCAGTAGACTAGTTTCTGCTCATGTGTCTCTCTATCCGGGACACGGGTGGCGCTGTGGATTAAACCACAGAGCCTAGGACTTGCCGATCAGAAGGTCAGCGGTTCGAATCCCCGTGACGGGGTGAGCTCCCGTTGCTTGGTCCCTGCTCCTGCCAACCTAGCAGTTCGAAAGCAAGTCAAAGTGCAAGTAGATAAATAGGTACCGCTACGGCGGGAAGGTAAACGGCATTTCCATGTGCTGTTCTGGTTTGCCAGAAGCGGCTTAGTCATGCTGGCCACACGACCCAAAAGCTGTACGGCGGCTCCCTCGGCCAATAAAGCGAGATGAGCGCTGCAACCCTAGAGTCGGCCACGACTGGACCTAATGGTCAGGGGTCCCTTTACCTTTACTTATCTCTCTATCCAAGGAAGCAAGTGGCATTTTCAGAGTTCATTTTCAGAGAATACTTTCCAGCCAGGCAACAACACAAGTGCAAAGTGGGGCCAGTGAGGGGTTGTTGCCCAGAGAGTGTTTTGAGGCACACAAGGAGGCCAAGTTAGTTAATTTCAGGTCAGCTGGCATTGCTAGGGAAACCTTAACCCCAGCTGATGAAGACAAAAGCTATGCCCTTCAAAACATTTACAAAAAGAAGTAACATCCCTAAGAGTAGATAGATAAGACCGCTGCCACTTTGAGTTGATTGATAGCTGCTGAAATTGCAATGTTTTGCCACAAAATGAGTCTGTAATCATTCCTGGCCTGCAGAGGTAGCAACCACCACTTAAGGCAATTCAGTTGGCACAAGCAATAAAGCAATCATAAGCAGGAAGCAGCATGAAACGTATTTAGAAATCCGGAAGGGAAATGTTGTGCTTTAACTACAAAGTAAGTACAGTAATAATAAAAAGCAGGAAGGATAAAATTCACAATTGACATTTTAATTCGCTTGCATTTGGATGCTCGGCTTTGTAAAAACAAAGGAAATATGCAAGGTAGTGGCTAAAGTGTTTAATGATGTTGTTATATTTAGAATGGAGAACATGAAACAATTTGTCTGCTTGAATTATTTAGACTATTCCTTGCCTAAAGGTGTCTCTTTGAGCAAGGTGCCTTGTTCACTCTCGTCCTGTGCTTGTAGCATGGGGTGATGTGGATGGCATGGATTCATCTGTCGGAAGGGCATTGCCATGGCGGAATGGAGGGGTGTTAGATGAGCAAAACAGTTTGGGTTGATTTGGTCAGGTGCCTTTGGGTCTGTGATCTTTAAAGCAATTGTTCAGACTTATCTGGTGAGGGGGGTGGAATGGATCAAAGCGGCAGTGCTAAATAACTCTTCTGGAAAAATATCAACACCATGGGGGGTGGGGAAAGAGGGCTGTAGCTCAGTGGTAGAGAAGAAGAAGAAGAAGAAGAAGAAGAAGAAGAAGAGGAGTTTGGATTTGATATCCCGCTTTATCACTACCCGAAGGATAA